CACCCCCACTCCTAGCTTCCAGATCTTGCTTTCTAATACCATTCTTCAATAAAAGGAACCAAGGCTTTGTGGAGAAGTGGCTGGGTTTAGGACTGGAGCAGGAAATATATAAGATGAACCTGGAGCATCTGGAAGTGCTAGAAAGTAGGGAAGTGCTCCAAAGAAACCACAATGATGAGGTAAGTCAAAGGGACACAGGAGCCAACTTGAGTTTCCAACGGCCAAAGCTGGAACAATTTGAGAAAAAGGCATCAGATTATAACCCAAAGAATAAGATTCTAAGTCCACATTGACATAACTTATTAATTAAATAAAGGAAAATAGATAAATCTGCACAGAATTACAAGTAATTTATGTAGATACTTGGCCCATAAGGTGGAGCGTAATTCCCTACTCAAGTCTTCCTTCCAAAGAATACAGTGGAAAGAGGAGGAAAAAGAGTAGCTCTATATGAACCTGACTGACACAGTACCTCAGCCAAGTGACCCCTTGTACGTTGTAAGCAGTAAGTCACGTTGATGGTATGTACCCTTAATATGGGATGAAAGTCGCATTTTACCTCTGCGATGTTCCCTCCAAATTCCATAACCCCGGTCTAATCATGAAAAAAACATTAAGACAAATTCAAACTGAGGGACATTCCATACATATCTCATCAGAAGTAAGTGGATGGTGGATTGTTGGGGTGGGAAGTTACAGACAAGAAAGGGAAGTCTAGAATGATCCACATGGTAATGGATTTGACTTGGAGACACCAATATGAACTCACGTTTAGCTTACTGTAGATAGTTATATATAGAAATATTTACAGACGTGTATATATAGGGTTAGTATACACACATATATATTTCCTTGCTCTGTCAGTTGAGATCTAGGTCATCAAAAATTCAAGGAGAGTCTGGGAAACCATCACAGCCAAGAGGAGTCTAAGGAGTTATGACTAAATATAAGGTGGTGTCCTGGATGGGATCCTGGGATGGAAAAACAACATTAGGTAAAAACTAAGGAAATACAAGTAAAGTTACAGACTTTGGCTAACAGTAATGTACCAGTATTGATTCACTTCCATTGAACGTGCCATACTAATGTATATCAGTAACAGGGGAAACTCGGTGTGTGGTATATGGGAACTCTCTGTACTATCTTGGTGATTTTTCTACAAATCTCAAACTTCCCTAAAATAAAAAGGTTTATTTTTTTAAAGCTTATTTTAGAAAATTACATAGCAGGACAGATTTAACAAAAAGCTTAGCTAGATGTAGTGTTTCTATAGTTATGAAAAATATCTTTTGGCATAATTGGTGTTTTAGTCTCCTAACATTTGTCGAAGAAATATAAATATTTTAGTTCAAATAAACTGAAAAAGAAAACGAAAAAACTTGGATAATTTTACTAGAGAAAAAAGTTCAGGGCTATCATATACTTACTTAGCTAGTCTTACTTCTGTCCTATGGTTAAACTAAATGCTTGGTTAAGTCTGAACATAGTTAACAGCTTCCAACTGCTTGTAGGATCAAATCAAAAGTCCTTACCATGGCCTAGGTAAGATCCTAAATAATCTGGCTCCTGCCTCCCTGCTTTGGCTTCATTTTATATATTCTCCCGGCTCTTTTCACTGACTGTGGAGCCACACGCTCTTTCTGTTCTCAAATCCTATTAAGCCTTAGGGCTTTCACTCTGTTCTTGTCTGGTATCTGTTATCTAATGCTGGGTAGGGTAGCAAACCATCCCCAATACTTAGTGTGGCTTAATACAACCCCTATTCTGTTCACTCAGGATGTTCTGAGTCAGATATTTGGTCTGGCCTCACCTGGGACACTCATGGAGCTGTGGTCAGCTGGCAGCTAGCGTGGGGATGGGGGACTAAGTCACATCTGGTGGTTAGTGCTGTTTGCTGATGTTTTTCTAGCAGGCTTTTTCAGGTGGCTGCAGGAAGGGTTCCAGAGTGAAAGAAGCATTTATTTGATGAAAGCAAATTACAAGGCCAGTCCATATTCAAGCAGTGGGAAACAGACTCCATATCTGATGGAAGGAGCAACAAATTATGTAAACGTTTAAAATCTACCATATATACGATGCTTTTCCTCATAGCTTTCCAAAACTGTCTCCCCTTAAAAATAACCTCTTCAAAGAGGCCTATCCTAACCACTACATTTAAAGTAGCTCTTCACCCTCCCTTCCCTATCTCTATTTCATTTCTTGGTTTTTCTGTCATTACAATTATCCATTATTTCACTGAGCAGGAACGTAATTAACTCACATCTTTATTTTTCCTGCCACAATAGGATAGACAACTAGGTTTAACAAAAACTGGAAGAGCAAAGCACTTCAAGTAAAAAGTGCTTTACTAAACAATGAAAATAATTTTTGTCCAGACAGAAAAAAAATGACCTATTTTTTTAAATTCAAGGTAGAAAGTAAGCTGCAATGTTTCCAAGTCAGTAAATTTAGGGCTTCAGTCTCCAACATTAACATACCAGTTTAGAAGTATACTTTTTAAAGACCACCCCAGACACAAATAAATAATCCTTCAACTGAACCTCTGGTTTGCTCCAGTGTGTAAGAGAACTCACTCGGGATAAGGTTCGAGGGACTTGTTTCCACCCATCAAAGCATTGTGGCAGTCAGTGTGGCAGTCCCTGTGGCCTCAAGCTATCCAAACCCTGGGCCACTCTAGCCCATCACCGCCTCACAGTGGGGGCCCTGAGACGTGGCCAGACGACTGGCATCATGCCTGATCCCAATCAATCCTGGTACAGAAGGTTGTACTATAAAGCATAACACTTTTCCACCATATAGTCTGCTCAAATAAAAAGAGATCAAGTCGTTACAGAATGTTTTTCCATTTTATTTTTTTATGAATGACAGATCTACTCAATAATTTTATTCAGTTTATTTAAATAAGGCTAAGGCTACTTAAAAGATCTTTTACATACAAAAATGTACATTACAAGGTTAAACTTTCTGTACTGAATTACAAAACCTGCACAAGCATTTAATAAAAGAGCACACTTAAAAACATTTTGACCATTTTGTAGCCTCTAAAAATTACTGAAGTGGCACAGTAGTAAATAGAGGAAGCTCTTAGATACATATGATTTAATCTACTGGCAGTTTTACTTAATGTAAGTTTTTAAAAAGGTCATTGCTATTGAGTGAGTCTCCAGACCAGTTTTAGAATCCTCGCTCAAAACTTAAGTCAACCAAAATATTATTTCAAATAATAATTACAATTCTGAAGAATTTTAATACTAGCAAAAATATTATGGCCCCATAGTAGTAGTTGAACCAACTTTCCAAAGTGCCTGGTAGCTGTCGAGATTAATAAAGCTATTTTGGTAAACTGTACTGCCTTTACAGCCACTGGGAAGCAATTTAGGGCCCCTGGTGCTGCAGGGGCTTGAGATTTCCAGAATTCACACAGCAGTCTATGATCCCTCAAATGTAAGAGGACCCGGGGTCATCCTGTCTTCACTCCTCAATGAATGCATAGGGCCAAGCATTAGGATGTACAAACCTAAGCCTGATGCTTAGTGTCTGCAGAAAGGAGGATGGAGAATAGAAGCAAAGAAAGTCAAAATATGGGAGAAGGGAGTAAGAAAAAAGAAAACGGGGGACGAAGAAGAAGGGAAAGAAAAGAACAAGACCACCTGCCAATGGCAGGAAGTAGTAAAGTGCCTGTAACTACACCTCAGAAGCCACTCACTCACTGACTTGACCATTCAGTTGCCTACCGAGATAATAAAAAAAGGTGGCTCTGTTGGAATATGAAATCAGTAGCAACAACATTAACCCATGCTAGTGAGTTGAGGGTATTCCAAAGCTGTTTGCCATTCAAATCGAGTCCTTCTAAACTTCAAAGCACACCACAGCAACCCTTCAAAACCTAAGATTCCCGACACTTCTGCTTCAGAGTCCCATCATTCGGGAGGCTTCATCAAGTGGAGGAAGACATTTCAAGACAAGCTCTATCTATACACCTGGAGAAGGCACAGCGCTCTAAGATGTCGGTATTACGTACTACACAGTACGTGGTTTAGCACTTCTCCACATTTCAAACGCAAAATAGCTCAAGAATATGCTGCTCTATTAGCATTGATTCTGAATGTTCATAATATAAACTTCAATTTGAAGCAACAATGTTACACAGTTCAGCTGTTATTACCAACCTACTCTGTAAGTTAAATATACAAATTAAAAATTAATTTTATTGAGTAACTAAAAATAAGTTTCCACTGACGTGAAACTGTCAAATGGCTAACTCTCTCTTAACTAAGAGAGAAATGCAGATGAAAGCAGAAGGGACAACCGAATTATCAAATATAATTTGTCATCCTACCCTAAAATCTGTACTTTTAAAATCTTCCTTAATATACAGTTCTGTAGAGGGTTACAGTTGTCCTTCAGTAATATCACACATATCAGCACTGCAGATAACTACATATTCACTCATCTGGCAGAACATGAGTAATTTATGCAACACAGAGTATGTATCAATTTTGTCTTATCTGTACAGATTTATAGTCTGGATAAAGGCAGAATGGGTAAAAACTGTAGGGTTCAAGTTTTAGTACAGTACTTACCTGACAGGCTGAATGAATTTTTTGTAAGGCTATTTAATAGCTGAACTAAAATACTTGTTTTAACAAATCAAAAGAATCATGAGACTGCTGTAAAAAGTTAATGAAAAGGCGAACCCCAATTTGAAGATCAGTCATATAAGGAAAAAAGTATAAAGTATCCTTTGCACTTAGAAATACAAGGCAAAAAAGTGGACAGGAGGACGTGTGGCTATAAGGTATATCCTATGTTCCCACTGACTTCCATCACACGACTGGGATGATATCACTGCTTTAACCCAAGACCGCAGTGGGTAATGTGTGTGTGGCAGCCCTGTGGGAAGCTGCCTGTTACCCCAGCAGGGAGCCCCGTCTGGCTGGTATTCGTCTCCTACGCGGTCATTCTGCAGTGACTGCTGGCTTCGGCCATCGTCTCTTCTGCCTACTCCAGATCATGCTAAGCTTCCTCTCTCCCCACCGCTATCCCTCCTGGACTCTCTGAAGTGCTGGAATTCCATCCCCCTCCTCCTGTTCTCTAAACCTTCTGCCATCAGGTACCACCTCAGACATGACTACCTCACCTCAAGATTTTAAAGTTGGTTTCTTTTTGAAAGGATGAAGCTCCTAGGAAGGAGTGACACCTGAGCTCCCAGAGTGGGATCACAGACTGCTCATGAAAAGAGTAGTGAGGACTGCTGCATGACAAGGACATCTTAAAGGGTGGACCAGCTGTGAGACTGACCAGTCAATTCCTAATAGACCAATTCTCCTATGACTTCAAGGGAAGGAGCAACAGCAAGCACTGATTTCCCTTTTGATTTTTATGGGAATAAGCAATGTAAGCACTTAAAGAACAGCAATTTCATCTGTATATTCTGAACAGTTTATTGGCAGCACTACAAATATGCTTTTCTTGGTGAACCTTGAGGAGTTTGGCAGTATTTACTAAAATATTGGGATAAACTGTTAAATTCTTTTGCTAGGGAAAAGAAATAAAAATTGTGAACTTCTAAAATATTTTGAGTTTAAACAAAATCTCAAATTTCCCCAAACACTGAAACAGAGTAATGAAAATAATTCCTAAAATTCATCAGATGCTTTATATCAGACTTGCAGCTAATGATTGACTAGGATCAATATAAATGACTTATACTAAGTCATCTGTTTAAAAAGAAATCCTTTCCTAAAAAGGGCACAAAAGGCAAAAATTAAAAAAAAAAAAAAAAGAGGAAGGGAGGAAGGGGAAAGGAAAGACTATTTTTTTAAACCTAATTTTAAACCTCTTAAGAAAATTCCACAATAATCAGGATCTCTGTAAATACTGTCAATATATGTGAACTTGCTTGAAAAACTACAGTTACAGTTATATTTACATTTTTGGAAACTTTCCTTCAGGGCCATGTAACATGTTGTATCTTCCTCTTTGCTTCTGGGGGCTTCAGGTTATTCTGAAAAGACATGAACAGAGACCAGTTTATACTTGCAGAAATGTCAGAGGATAGCTTGAAATGAGCAGTTTAAACCACCAAAGTTTACTACTAATAAACGAATGGTAGATCACTGCTGCCATCTGGTGGGAGATTTTAGGAGATTAAGTGAAAAAGCAAGTCTCCCCCGCTACCCATTTTTTCCAACTGTGGTTCTCAAATGTTTGCATATTAGAATCACCCACAGCACTTATAAACATGCCCAGACCTGAGCCTTATCCCAGAACCAATTAAGTGAGAATCCACACAAGGTGGCGGGGTTGAGGCTCTGACTTCTGTCTGGGTTTGAGGGGGTTGAGGCTCTGCCTTCTGCCTGGAAGCTCCCCCAGGTAATCCTAAAGTGCATTCAGAACTGAAAACGACTGAGGACTCCAGACCTGCTTCTTCCCTGCCTACCCCATCGCCTTCCACAACCTCACAATCCAAGATCTTACTACTAGTAAGAAAACAGTAAAATCACACCTCTGAAAGAGTAAAATGTTTCTGAGTAGAAAGATGTGTTTAAAGAGACCGAAAAAAAGATCCTCGAGGCTCTTATTTTAATATTTGAGGTCTAGGTTATTCTTCCTTTTTTTTCCCTTCCCCACCGACACCCTCCTCCTCCTTCCCACAAAAGTGACTGAAGTAAGTAGAGAGGCAGCTTGGTGTCATTAGAAGTTCATGCACTGAGGTCAAATGGGTCCGTATTCAAACTGCAGCCTGGCCACTTACTAACTCTGAAACCCTGGACAAGTTTATTTAAACTCTGAGCTTCTATTTCCTCATCTGTGAAATAAGAAAAAGTACTGTGCCATGTCACAGGGTAGCTGAAAAGATGAACTAATGGAAGAACTAAGCACTGGCCAGATTTACAGTAGTCCTCTTTCTACTATTTTAGAATGTCTGAACTACTCTGAGTTTTGATCCCTTTGACACACAATTCTAAGAGGATAATAATGTCAAAGTATACCATAGAAATACTATAGACTGAATGCGTGTGTCCCCTCAAAATTTGTATGTTGAAACCTAATCCCCAACATGACGGTATTGGGGGTAGGGTCTTCGGGAGGTGCTTAAATCACAAGGGAAGTGCTCTCATGAATGGGTCCTCAGAAAAGAGACCTCAGAGAGTTTTCTTGCCCCTTCTACCACGTGAGAACACACTGGGAAGCAGCCAAGTATGAACCAGAAAGTGGACCCTCACCAGACACTGAACATGCCAGCACCTTGATTCTGGACTTCCCAGCCTCCAGAACTGTGTGAAATGTATGTCTGTTATGCAGGTCATCTAGTCAGTATTATTTTTGTTATAGCAGCCTAAACAGACTAAGACAAGGAATAAAACCTATAAAACCGCTGGATGTTTAAAAGTAAAAATCATTTTCTGAGGAGCATAGGGAAGAATCAAGTAGGTTTATGTGTATGTATATACATATAATACATATATACACATGTATGTATAAACACACATGTATATATATACATATACATATATATACCATCTCATAAATTAAACTCTAAATAAACTCTAAATTTATTGCCTATCTGTACCAAATTTGCCAGTATATGAAATCCAAGCATCCAAATGCTTAACTATAATACAGTCTAACACAGTACATCTCCCAAATTTCCCCTATCCCTCCAAGGACAGGTAAACATGAGGGGAAGGGGAGGTCCATGATAAATCCTGAACACTCTAGTGTGGTTTTAAGGTAAATGTAAAACAGACAGACTGAAGGTCAAGCTCTCAAATGCTACTTAATAAATATATGACTCAACAAATCGCTTAACATTCTGAGCGTTACTAACAAGAATTATTTTTCTCTTTTAGTTCCAAAAATGGTTAAAGGATCGAAATGAGAAAGTCTAGGAAAAGTGCCTAAGACATTTTAAGCAGAAATAACTTGAGTGGACTTGAAAAAACGTTAACTTATCATCATGGATTTTATAATTGCCAAAGTCAACAGGAGAAAGGACACGAAAGAGACCATTTACGAGCTCAAGACCTGCCTGTGTCCCAGCTCGCCCACCCCGGCTCCGCTACCCGCTCAGAGACTCCTCCGTGCCGCTCTCTTCCTAGCACGGAAGCCGCCCCGCACTTACCACAGCCTCAGCTTCTTCTTTAGGGGCCGCTCGCTTTAACTTCACGGGAGTAGCTCCAACAGGGGACAAAGGTGGGGACTTCACAGGACCCAAAGGACTTTTCCTATGCGTTAAGTCATGGTTCTGTTTAGTGTCATTATTATTGTGTTCCATTTTATTGTTCATAGGCAAATTGGAAGACAAAATTAGGGGTGAAACACTTGAAGAGGAATTTGACAATTTTCGAAAGGCATTACTGGTAAAGCTTGCCTGAGGGGGAGGCCTGAGTCGGTCATTATCTCCATTCTCTGTCTTTCTCACTTTGATGCTTGTACTTGTTGAACTTCCATCAAACACAATGAGGGGTCTTTTTCTTAACCCATCTACAGTGCTAGTCCTGAAATCAAAGAGATGCATTCTTGAAAAATACCATCTGCAAAAAATGGCAAACTGTCTGCAGGAACTCAAAGCTAAAACAATGACCAGAAAACATTTATTGGTAAGACTGATCTATTTTAAGTAGGACTACTGGGAATGAAATATTCTATGTTCACCCTAAATGAAATGATAATTTTCTAATGCTTCTAAGTATAAGATACTTATTGACAAGAAACTTAGGTTAGCTTTAACATACACACAAGATAGATTATTTTTAAAACATCAACTAATTAACCCTAGAACTTAAAATAAGATTTCCTAGTAACTAAAAAAAATTTTAAGTTTTAAAAACCACCCCATCTAATTGATAGGGTTATCTTGACTATGTGTATCAGTTATTATTTAAAAAGGATAATGAACTATAAAGCTATAGCAAGACTACCACAGTCATAGTCTACAATGAGAACATTCTATTCTATTTATCAATGGTCTCTAAAGCCAAGGCACTCTCTAAATTCTACCTATAACATTTGTGTAATGTTAATTTTAAAATTTCGCAAGTCTTCATTTTAGCTTCTGAAAACCTAATTTCCACTCTGAATCAGAAAGATAAATAATAAAAGCATTCACTTGTCCACTATTCATTATACCTCAAGTGAAACAACAGATTTATGGGGGGGAAAAAAAACCTTTTAATTAAACATGTAACAAGAACTTGAGCAGTCAGTTATTAGGAAGAACACTTCAGCCTTGCTACTCAAAGTGTGGTCAAGGGACCAGCAGCATAATCATCACCTTGGGAGCCTGATAAGAAATGCAGAATCTGGGGCTTCAACCTGTATTGATTCAGAATCTGCATTTTAACCAGATCCTGGGTGACTGGCCAAACTCACCAATTCTTAGGTCACCACTGAACATCATCTGGTAGAAGATATAAAATCGGTTTCCTATATACACACTGCCGCTATGGAAGGGAAACAGAGGGCTCATCAGAGAGAGCAGGGCTCATCAGCTTGTAAGAGTTCAACCTAAGATCCCAGAGGCACACTGAAGTTTGAGAAGCACTGCACTGTTGATCTGGGCCTAGCTCTATGTGACCTGGGGCACATCACAACACTTCTCTAATTCAACAATACCTGACGATGTCTTAGATCCTTCCAGCTTTAATGTTTTGAGTCAAGAGTCAAATTTGTCATTTTTTTCAAAAAGTCACAAATCCGAGCCCCATGTTGGGCTCCCTGTTCAGCGGGGAGTCTGCTTCTCCCACCCCCTGCCACTCCCCTGCTTGTGCTCTCTGTCAAATAAATATGTAAAATCTTAAAAAAAAGTGTCACAAATCCTTTCCAAAAGGATACTGAGGAGCTTAAAGGGACTGTCATATGAAGTAACAGATTTGAAGCTTTGCTTAGGACAATGTGCCTGAATGTGCAGATCAAGAAGAAAATACTTTATTAAGAATCAACAAAAGAAAGAGGTGCCTGGGTGGCAAAGCCGGTTAAGTGGCCAATTCTTGGTTCCAGCTCAGGTCATGATCTCAGGGTCCTGGAATGGAGCCCATCGGGCTCTGGGCTCCGTGTTCAGCTCAGGGTCTGCTTCAGGATTCTCTCTCTCCCTCTGCCCCGCCACCCCCCCCACGCTCTCTCTCTAAAATAAATAAATCTTAAAAAAAAAAAATGAATCAACAAAAGTAAAATGAAGATGTATTTGGCATAATCCATAGATTTACAAAAGCTAACACTAAATGTAGCCTGTACCAATATATAACCATCAAGCTAAAATGATGCCCAATCTGAACTGAATGTGTTCCTGATCAAAAGACACTTTCTTTTCCAAACACCTATGAGCATACATGTTATATTCTTCAACTGTTTTCATACCTGGGGAATACTCTATCAATAATGGGTTCTTCTTTGTAACTAGAGATTAACACCCCTCATCAACTCAGAGCCAGCATTCTCCCTCACCCTCAGCCCTCATTCCACCTTCTCCCACAATCACTGGTGCGCTGCCAATGACAGTACCTTACAAACAGAAGGCTCTAAAAATAAATTCAGTAATTAATCAATAGCACCCACTTGTGATAAAATACACAGGAAAAGCAGTAACTACCCCACCCAGGGATCTTAGGACACTTTGTCCTCATTAAACCATTTATCACTGTTAAAGAAACATAACCTCCTTTTAAAAAGGAAATTCATTTGCTTGTGGTTTTATGAAAAATTTTCTGAAATTTAAAAATCTTAGTGTCCCTGAAGCCATATGACAGTTACTTCATTTCTTTATTATTCAAAGACCTTTAAGTCTTGACTCCACTTTTTTCTCACAATTCAGCAAATCTTTTTGGTTCTACCTCCAAAATACATCCAGACTCCAACCACTTCTTACCAAGTTCACTACTTCGGTCGAAGTCCCCACCATCTATCACCTGGATCACAGTACAGCCTCCTGAATGATTTCCCTGTTCCCCTCACCCCACCTTAAATCACTTCTCAGTACAGCAGCCAGAGTGATGCTGTTAAAATGCACATCAGATGATGTCATCACTCTGCTCAAAATCTTCCAATGGCCTCTTATCTCAGAGCAAAGCCGAAGTTCTCACAATGACTAACAAAGCTTTACGCGATCCAACCAACAATCTCCCCTACTCACCTCCAGTAAACCTCTTTTCTCTACTTTCCCCTTGATTCTCTCCACTTTGGCCTTGATGGCCTCTTGTTGTTCTTAGTTTATGATGGGCACACTTCTGACCCAGGCTCTTGTATCCTGTCTGGAATGCTAGCTTGCTTTCCACCATCTACAGGTTTCTCTACTGAACTGTCATTTCTCAGTGAGGTTGTTCCTGACCACTTTACCTAAAATGGCAATCTGTATCCCTGTTTTACTTTTCTCCTTAGCATTTATGTTTATCACTATGTAACATACCATATATTTTACCCATTTTTTTAAATTATGTTTCTCCCAATTAGAATATGAGCAGGGAATTCTGTCAGTTTTATTCATGCTATAAGCACAGTGCCTGGTGCTCAATAAATAGTTACTGAGTAAATGAATTTTTCTTACCTAAGTTTACCTGGAGAAAAAAAAAAGAAAAGCAAAATTGTTAAGTCATATAAGATAAAAACCAGAACTGCTAAAAATTACCTTTTAGTCTCATTTTTCATCTCATGTTGCTCTCTTTTCTTTTCCATCATTTTCCCCCACCTATTCTTTGGCAAATCTCTTTGAGGCAACGGTATTGCGTGCTGAACATAAAGATCAGTGAGATTGTCTTTGTTTATTCTTATGTCACTTTCAACAGCTATGTTCTTCTGTGGAAAAGGAAACAAAAGTAATTTCAAAATAACAAACTTCATAATTACTACCTACCTAACAGGGTAGAACATTCCTGCTTAAGTAACAAATTTTATAATTATAAAGTTTAATAATTATATATTTTATAATTTATTTGCCACTATACAATTTAATAATTAAATTAAATTAAATTAAATAACTTATTTACTTATAATTTATAATATTTAAAACTTAATATAACTCATAATTTACATTTATAATTCTATTATACAATTATTATGTATTTGCCATAATTATAGAATATGTTATTTAAATCTGAGTTTGTTATTTAAGTTGTATAGGGACTTATAGGGACTTCAAGTACACTGCAGTCCTACATAGTCCAGCAAGAAGTAGTATCACAGAGGTTAACCTCTGCAAATATTAGGTTCAGCCTCATCTTAAAAGACAATGTCATATGTTCTCAGCGTGACAAGGACTGTAGTCCACAACTGGTCAGCCAGTGATCAGGCATGGAGACCATTTCCAGTAGCATCATCTTAATCCATGAAGTAAACTGAAAATGGGAGACTGCCTGGGGAAACCAGACAAAAAAAAAAGCCAACAACGATAACAATTACTACATGCTGTCAAAAAGTTACCCAGAGTGTGACTATCATGATCAAAGTAGTGGGCTGGAGGTCTCACCCTATATATTGTTTCCCATGTCTCCCTAATAATGCTTCTGAAATTGAAGTCAACTACCAAGATTTCAAATGGCCCTACAGATGGACACTGCAGTCCCCTTACTTATGACCGTACTGATAACAGTGCATCATTACAACCTGCCCCTCATGTTTTCACCAGTCCTTTCAAGTAGCTTCCAGTCACTGTCCAACCATCCCTGTCTAAATTACCTCATTCTCCCTCACTTTCCAATTTGCTTTCAACATAATGGAAAACACGTGGCATAAGGAAAAGAAGTAGTTATGGATAAAGAGTTTGGATTTAGGAAGGAAAATGAGGATGGAAATAAGATCATGGACTCTTCATCTGCAATTCAGAAAGGCTTGGAAACATTTGTGTTGAGTTTAACTAGCAAATCAAGCCCATCTACGTCCTCTGATAAACTTATCCCGATTACTTTCTTCTTCAAAATTTAAAAGTACAAATATTACTTCTCTCTCTTATACTTGACCACCATTTGTTATCAGTTTTCACCCTCTATTCACTCAGAGATATGGAAAAACCCTGGAGAGAACCCTGGATAACACTCCCAGAGAATTCACAGGCACCTTAGTTTGGGAAGCACTGCTCCAGGGTGGTGGTTCTCAAGCTATGGTCCCTGGGCTAGCAGCAAGAACGCTGAAAACGCCAATTTTCAGGCCACACCCTGGACCTACTGAATCCGACACTCTGGGGATGGAACCCAGTAATCTGTGTTTTAACAAGCCCTGGGGGTGATTCTGACATACCTAAAAAGTTTGAGAACCGCAGGTGAAAGGTAACAGACCTCAACAAATTCTACTTAGTAGGGCTTAGGGAAATTAGAGAAAGAGTACTGAGGGCTAAACACAAGGAAAGCAACAAAACATGCTATTTAAAATCACAAGGAGGAGCGCCTGGGTGGCTCAGTCGTTAAGCGGCTGCCTTCGGCTGGGGTCATGGTCCCAGGGTCCTGGAATCGAGCCCCACATCGGGATCCCTGCTCGGCGGGAAGCCTGCTTCTCCCTCTCCCACTCCCCCTGCTTGTGTTCCTGCTCTCGCTATCTCTCTCTCTGTCAAATAAATTTTAAAAATAAATAAATAAATAAATAAATAAATAAATAAATAAATAAATAAAAATTAAAAAAATAAAATCACAAGGAAACTTTCAGTAATTCTCTACCACTTTAAACCAGTTTCATCCTTCTTTTGTCTTATTTTTTGTTGGTTATCTGAGGCCACATTAGCTCGAAAAGAGGAAATGCTGCATCGAGAGCCGGGAGTCCGGAATTCTCCTCCTGCCTGCACCATTTAGCGATATGGTGTCACCTTAAATAAGTCACTTTACTTCTCTGAGACGCAGTTTCATCTTTAAATGAGGTGAGAATATAAACAAAGGGCGATTTCTCCGATGCTTTCCAGCCCTGACAGTCCCTGATTACTACCCTTCATTTCTACTACGATTTTTCCCCCGGCCCTTGCTCACATATAGGCCCCGGGGGTCGCCTAGAACTCCTCTGTAGGAGCCATCAAAGACCCAAGAGGGTAAGTCCTGATTCCCAGGAATTCCTGATATCCTAAGGACGTCTCTTTCCCGAATAGGGGCGTGGGGAGACCTAGTCGGTCCGTGTGGAGTGGAGAGTGACACAAACCGGGCGGTAGGGGCGACGGCGGCGGGTGTGTCCGCTCGCCACTAAGGATTACTCGGGGCCAACTCAAGTCCGAAGCCCTTTCCCAAAAAGGCCCACCCGCCCGGGCGCGCCCGACCTGCTCCAAGGTGAGGAGAAGGAACTCCTGGGACAGCAGCTCCGGGTGCAGCAGCAGCTCCGAATCCGTGCAGCTGCGACCGCCCACATCCCCCGCCATCGTCGTCGCCAGGAGACCCCGGCCGGCTACCCACAAGGCTCCACGAAGGAAGCGTCCCGGAAGTGACGTGCGGGCGGAGCCTTAAGTGTGTCGTCACTCCTGTTGCGCCGCGCGTCCCCTTCCGCCTCTGGTGGCTTGCCGGGATGCTGGAATAGATCTTGCTGAGGGAAGACTCCCGTGGCCTAAAGAAGTGGAAGGGACGTCTGCAGAGAAAACGATTGGCATTTGACGTCTTGCAAGAAAAGACAGGAAAAACGAAGTTCCCAAAGCGGGCCACGATTGGTCGCGCTTCCTGTGACGTCTAGTGGCAGAGGCCAAAGGGATTTCTAGGGCAGTCTCGCGGGAAAGAGGCGGGGCAGCCAGATGTCCTTTACCCTATAAATGGCACTGATAGCGTCTGAAACGGTTTTGGTCTTTTTTCAACCTGCTTCTTTGTCTTCTAATCCTCCTTCAAGACGATGAAGATCTTAGGCCTGAGACTTTAAATCCTTGTAACCCCATGGCCTCACACATAGTAGGCGCTCAAGTATTCCCTGAAATAATACTCCGACTTAACCTGCTCACGTATGAAAATAGTAAAACCGCCAGTGAAACAGCCAGACATTTGTTAGACATTAACGATGTGCCACGTACTGGATTTAATATGGATAATCTTGCTTCTCAGAACAGCACTCTGAGATATATGTTACGAGAATGCTTATTTTCCAGGTGAGGAAACTGAGGCATAAGATAATTTGCTGAAGATCAGAGAATGAGGAAGTAAAAGACTGGCACTCAAGTGCGTTTTCTCTGCACTTGTAACTACTGTGAAGTAACAGTTTTAAACAAATTCTTGTAGGTTTCAATGATGATCTAATCCCTGGTAATTCACCAAGAAATGTCTTCTACTATTCTTTCATCTTTTGTGGAAGAGATATACATCCCAAAATATTCACATTTAAAACTTCCGTCATGTTCTAAGTGCTTACTGTTTGCAAACTGTATGATGTATCATCTTACTGGAAATTATTGCAGTAAAACATGTGAACAACTCTGAGGATGCTAAAAGAAACCTTGAAGAAGCATTGGGAAATAAGTGAGATGCTAAATCAAAAAGATAAGTTAAAGCTGAGAGGTGTTTTGCAATTTTTCTTAACCATTTATGTATATGATACTTTATCTAGAAATTGAATTTCAGAACTGGGCAGAAACTTCAGTTAGTCCAGTTCTTTCATTTTAGTGTTGAGGAAGCTGACCTGAAAGACATTTAAATGACTTGCCCAAAATAGAACAGTTTTAGACCTGAGCTGAGGCAGATATTTGGATGTTCTAATTTGGAGTTAAGTGCATTAACTTCATGGTATTAGGATCATGGTATTTTATATCCAAAATCTGATTACCTTTTCATGACAATAGTGAAATTAGTGTGACTGGTATTATCCTCATTTCCTTCTCCAGAAGGCACGTTGTTTAATTGGCAAAAGCAGTTGTTTCGGAAGGAGTCTGGGCTTGAAAACTAGAGCTAAGTTCAAATTTTTTTCTGCTGCAAAAGGAGACCATGGATGAGTTACTTAAGTCTCTCAGCCTCAATCTTATCAGAAAAAAAATTGCTATGCTAACATCTGTGAAGAATTATCAAAGGAGTACAAGATTATATAGAAAGTATTCAACCATAATTATGAGGCAGTTTAGAAAACTGGAGAAAGGGCAGGCTTTGGAGTGGCCCGGACTTGGATTCTGACCTTGGCTCCAGCACTGACTAGGACAAATATTTCATGTCTCCCCACTGCAGTGTCCTCACCTGTGAAATGGACATTGTAAGGCCACCCCACAATGTTGTGAGGTTGGAGCTAGAGTATGTAAAGTGCCTCCTCTGTTGCCACTATCTGGAGATTTGTTGTAGCCTATTGACTGTCATCAAAGGAAGCAAGTGGTAGGATGGTGGTGTAGGTGGGGAAAAATTGAGTTTAAGAGTCTGAAAATATGATTATACATCCTTGCTGGGCTCTTTTACCCTGTGGTTTTCTAGACTAATCACTTAACCTAAAGCCTTAAGCTTTTTATCAGCAAAAATGTTTTGTGGCAGGTAAGAACTGTTCTTTTTCTTCTGTTTTTCTTAATTTCCCAGAAGTACTACTCCGGTTTAAAACTGAATCCATTAAGATAATTCCAGTTGCCTCTGAACCAAAAATCTCCAGAGGGAGTGTCCCCTCGGGCAGGGAAAAACATCAAGATTCAGAGAGGAGGAAGTAGAATGAGATTCTAACACTCCCCAAAGGAAAGAGACTATTTGGTAAAGCCTGTCCCACCCCATCCTGGGCAGAGCCTGGGAGAGTGGAGCCTCAGAGAATTTGTGGTCAGGTGACTGTGCTTTAATCAGAGTTCTGATGTAGGAAGTTGGGGTGGTGGAGAATTTGCATTTCTAACAAGTTGTGAGGTAATGTTTCAAATATGTTTGGGGAGAAGGGCCACCTCACAGAGATTTCTGCCACATCACAGGGCAAGGAAGCCACAGACATTCCGCGACCCTCAAGCTAGGCAATCGCCTGGATTGGAAGGACCAGGCCTGTCAGCACTGAAACAATGAGACTGAAAACCAAACACTAGAGTGGACAAAGAACATCTCAGAATCCCTGTGGGGACCAGTGTTGCTAGGACCTGACATCTCCTGCTTCCTATCTTGGTATTTTAGAAATTCCCCAACCTGATTAACACAGCCCAGGGAAAGAGAGCAGGCCTCCGTTGATAAGATCATTGTCACTGCAGCTGAGTGGGGGCTTGAAAAAGAAATAAAACTCAGTTACAGAAAAAAAATTCTATTTGTTACACATTTGAGTTTGTATACTGAAGTTCATTCCTGCTACCCTGTTACCTGTGAGTATTCTATTGTAACCAGCAGTTTTTATGTTCAGTATTATAAGAATTTTCCCTTTACTCGAAGATCATGAGGTCTCATTCTTTAACATTTTTATTTGGTGCCTATAGTTGACAAAAACAAACTGAGGGACACCAACAAACACTACCATGCCTGGCATCATCACCTCACTGGTTTAGGAGTTCCTGTAGGAAAGGGTCCATACATTTCCTTGGAATCTCTCACCTGGTCAGTAGCACACACGATGGTTAGTAGGTACTCAATAAACATTGAATGAATGAGTCATGAACAAAATATGTACTGAAAACTTTGGGTGTTGATTCTTCTTGTTGGTAGTATAATATTCAAGATACTTATGTTACAAATATTTTAGCATTAGTTGTCAAAAATATATTTGAGCATAAATAAAATTAAGGAGCTTCAAAGTGAATATAACAGTTTAAAGAGTACTTCACATTTTGACCTGTGTTTTTAGGTGTTTAGAACCACAGTTCTGCTTTGAGTTTCAAATAACTACTTTTGGTACCACAATAATAATGGTTATATTTTTATTGTCATTTCTTATTCCTTTTACAATCATATCATAATAAAGATGCATTCGCCAACTTCGGCTACTCATCCCATAGGTCACCCCTTCATGAGCTCTTTGAAATGGGTTTTGTCTTTGAGTTCTCGGTACCCAGCACAGTGCCTGGCACACTGTATAAGACCAATAGCATGTGGTGAATGAATATGAGCAAACCTTTCCTGATTCCCAGGCACTTCCTAAGTGAGCTCTCCTGTGACCAGACTTCTAGAGCACATTATTTTTTGCCTTAGGATCTGATTAGGTGGGTCTTTCTTCCACATATTCCACTAAATCAGGGGTTCTCAAAATTGAGTATTAGAGTCACCTGGAGAGCTTATGAAAAACTGTTTGCTGGGCCCTACCCTGCAGTTTCTGATTTAGGAAGTTTGGAGTAGGGACATGGGAATTTGCATTTGCAGGTTCTGAGGTGATGTTGATACTGTTGATTATCAACCATACTTTATAAACCACCGCACAAAATTAAGTTGCTGGGGGGGGGGTGTATTCCTCATCTCAGGATCCCCAGCAGCCTCTGCCATAGTACCTGGGACATGGGAGTAGCTCAAGAAATAGTTGGCTTGAATAATAGTTCAAAAAGTTTATTTTACTGAATCTAGATTACAGGTATATGGATATACATATATATATCCTTAAATGAGCTAATACACGTAAAAGCTCTTAAAACATGGCATGTAGTGAGCTAAGTTTGCTTAAAAAATAATAAATGTTAATCTTTCTTTGCTTAACTTCATCTAAAATGATACCCAAACATTCAAAAGATGTATTCTCAACAAGACTGCTTATAAAGGAGAGTAGCAGAATGTTAGCATTAAAAGCCTCTTTTAAAGATAACCTGGTTTATTAATATTGAGCATCAGGAATTTTCAGAATTGGTTACATGCTTCCTACATGCAGATAGACACAGCAAGAACATGGTAGACACACACTTTGCCCTCAGGAGCTTATAGCCAGTGAGGAATTGAGGAACCCAGAGGAAGTATGAGGAGGTCTAAGTAGAGGATATTAAGTTTGGGGAATGGCTAGCAACTACGGAAGTATTCACGTGTATCTGTTCAACTCCTAATCATCATTAATCTGTTAGAACTCATCTTTTGCACATTCTATAAAATACTCTTAACATGTTCAGTATGGGCCCAAGGGATATTTACTAAATATTAATAAATGAAGTTGAAAATTCCTTTGAAAAACATATGACTTTGATTATTTCTTCTTCAGTGTAACCAATCAAAACAGCATGAGGAATTTAGAATTAGCCTGATGCAGATATTTGCACGTTTATGGAATAGTTATTTACACCCAGGTGTCTGTCATATGTGAAACAGACTTCTCAGAAAGTTCCAGGAAGGACAAATGTTTCTAGGTGGAATCATGTGCACATGTGGAACTTGCCATTTTAAGAATCCTATGGGAAATCCTTTCACAAAGGAAATAATTATTTCTGAATTATCTTTTTTCCCCTCTTTTTTGTTAATACACATTTTGACTTCTAGATTGTTTAAAGCAGAACACGAATGCTCCATCAACTACTCAATAGAACGTAACTTTATAAAAAAATTCACTGTGCTGTTGAATTCTGGATTCTTTTTCCTGCTCTATTCTTACCACCATGGAATTTGGGACAAGTCTTTGGGACTTTGCCTCAGTCAACTCACCTATAAAACGGAGACATTACTCGTGTCTACATAAGGATATGGCAAGGCTTAAATGAGATCATTGCTATAAGACCAGCATCTGGCATTGGGCAGATGGTCACCTCTGTAACCAGTT